GTCCCTGACCGTAGTACCTAAAATTAACCATTTTTAGAAAATGTAGGAAATTCACGTCAACATGTTCCAAAGCCTGAAATTACGTAATATTCACCATGGACATCCTACCCCTGATCCCAGTACCTAAACTTAACCATTAATCCTGATCCCTCATGTTAACCTCAGACCCCCGACCCAAAGACCCCTTGTGGCGCAACCCGGAAAAGCKGCGGGCGTCAAGGACTGACGCGAGGGGGTCACCTGATGCGTCAAAATAAGACGCAGAGGGAACTTTGGAAAAGCGTCAATATGTGACGAGTCGGGAGTGAGAATGTGTAGGATGTGCACACACCTATCTGTGTACACATACCCTAATTCCTGCACTCACATAAAGAACATAAATCCCAATGACATATCTGAAATGGGGTAGGAAGAAGTAAAACTTATTTAACCTTACCCCTATTCACCATTTCATCTGATCTTCAGAATATCATCAGTTTGTGATGAAAAGAAAAAAAAACAGACAACAAAAGCAAATAAAAAAACTTTTAAACTAATACATAAGGTAATCCAAAATTATTCTAATACTAAATTTCGTGTGTGTATGTATATGTATGTATATATATGTGTGTGTATGTAAATAAAAGCCACATGTTAAAAGGAAAATACTGGGGGAGACTCTAATGCGTTCTGCAGACCTGTGTTGTTGCTCAGTCAGGCCTGGAAACGTTGGGATTCCCCAGGAGGAGCATCACAGGACAGAAGGACGTCTGGGTTTCCCCCTCCTGGACCTGTTTGGATCCATGACTCCAATTCTGAGAAGCAACAGGATGGATGGACTAAACTTACTGCTCTCTTGTCATCAAACACTCAGCATCCAGAAAGTCACACCATTATGACACAATTAACATACTGTAAGGTCAGCTGGAAACATTTCAGAAATACTTTTTTAAAATAAATCACACATCAGCCTGCATGAGAACATGGCAGCAGTTTGAACCAATAACAACTAATGGAAAAAAAATCATGTCAAGAGACTGGTTTAACTAATTAGCACCACGGCCCCATCAGCTATATTTAACTCTGGAGGGCCTCAAGCAAGTTAATCTGGCTTATGTGTCCTCTGGAGGTCTGATTTTCATTTTTTTTTCTTCCAGTGACAGCTTTGACTAACATCCCACCTCAGACAATTCCCTGTGTGTGTGTGTGTGTGTGTGTGTGTGTGTGTTTAACATATAGTTATGGAGTTGTGGAGCACTGGTTTTGAAGAACAAGGAAGCAAATCTTTCTCAAAAAGAACAGTAATATTCTACATCTACACTTTTTTGCACAATGTGGTTTAGCTAGTTCTCTTACAAGTCGTTTTCTTATTTAGTCAGCAATGAATCTGTCAGATCTAAACTTCCTGTTCGCAGCTGTTTACACAACTGATGGAAAATTATCTTCAAAACAAAGGCACTAAAATATGAACTGTTTAAGTAATCAGAAACTGAAAGCGGTGATATAGTTTAGCCCAAACAGAGACAAAACTTCCTGCTGATCCACGTTTGCAACAGAAAAACAGTCCAAGTAAATGATCTACCTGATGTTCCTGCTAAAGGACACAAACCACTGATTTGATCAAACATCACTTTAAAACAGACACTTTAGGTCACAAATGACTCATTTCACATCATACAATGGGAATCCTGTTGATGTAAAAATAAAGAATATCTTAAAAAATACATGATGATGATGATGATGATTATGATAATAATGGTTGAGCCAATTGAGTTTAAACTCTTGTTTTTCTAACTGTAAAAAAAATCTGCAAACTAAAAAAAAGCAGCATTGCTTGCCACACTTTTAAACAAAAATCTTGCACAATTTGTTTGTGCTTGAAATATGATTTGGGGATGGCTCTCAACTCAACTTCTATAAAAATGACCAAAAATAAAGTTTTTGCTGTTTTTTGTTTGCAAGCTATGACAGCTGGATTAACTGGGACTCGGTTAAAAAAATCTTGAACAGTTTGTTAGCATTCCGATGAGGGGCAGCGTTAGACTTTTTTGCAAGGGGTAGCACAGGGGTGACCAGACCAAGGTGTTTTATAGTGCGGCACATTGAAATGAAGAAAAGCACTCTGATTTGAAAATTCAAGCTAATTTAAAAAAATTAGCTGTTTTCAGAAATATTGAGGTGGAATTTTGTGATTATAGCTAAGAATGATCTAAAACAGCTAAATGCTAATCAAAACTTATTATTCAGCCATTTTTAGACATACAAAGCAGAAGATTAATACACAAGTAGCCAAAAACAATCTTTATCAAATTTGAAATACTAATCAAAAATTCAAGATTACCATCACAGCTAACCTAAAAAGAGGCTAAAATTCAGTCATTTTAAGACTTAAATTTTAATTAAATTTGTTGTGAAGCATGCTAAATTCTGATGCTAATCTCAAATTACTAATGCTAATTTTACAAAGGGCTACAATTCAGCTGCTGAAATTTTATATGGTGCAGTAGTATCAGAAAACATTTTTTAATAAAACCTAAATGCAAATACAAAATCCAAGATAATTGTTTGGGGGTGGAATCTGAGGTGGCCAAACCGGTACCAGGGGTGGCACCACCGCCACCACTCTGGCTCCGCCCCTGGTTACGACCGTGTGCTTGGATTTATTACAAGATAAATGAATTGTGCAAATTTTGATGAAAAACAGGATAGACAAATGCTAGAGGAAATATATTTAGAGTCTGATGGAGACGCCTCATGTTGTTTGTGTTTGCAGGTCTGGACGGAAAACCAGAGGACATCGACAGAAGAAAACAAGAGTTTGGACAGAACATCATCCCTCCTAAAAAGCCAAAGACCTTTTTGCAGTTAGTGTGGGAGGCCTTGCAGGACGTCACGCTCATCATCCTGGAGATGGCAGCCATTATTTCTCTAGGCCTTTCTTTCTACAATCCGCCAATCGCTGACAGACAGAGTGAGTACCTCCAGACGACTGGTGAGGCTGTCAGTTCGGTCTGTTTAAAGAGTACCTTACCCCAAAATTAACTTTTTTTAGCTGATAAACTGTCTAGAATGTGTCTAAAATGTTATATAGTACTGTTTCTGTGCCAATTTTGATGTTTTTGTGCGTATTTGTTCAAACCTGTAATATTTGGTCTAAAAACGTTTTTGCTGCTCATATGGGTAGAGCAGTGGTACTGCAGGCTAATTTGCATATTGGTTAA